CATCTCCCGATCAATATTCTTTGCTTTATCTCTTTCTCTTTTATACTAATTCTCAATCTTCTATATAGATCCTCACTGTTGCACTGCATTTCCCCTCCAATGCCCATTTTTATCGACATCTGGCTTCCTTATCAACCTACGATTTTTCGGGCATATCCTTCACCTTCAGACGACATCTTATCCAGGAGTTCAGAAAGCGAATAAAGGACTTAACTAGTGTGTGTGTGTGTGTGTGTGTGTGTGTGTGTGTGTGTGTGTGTGTGGGTCTGTCATGATGTGTGTGTGTGGTGTGTGTGATTTGTGTGTTGTGTTGTGTGTGTGCGTGGTGTGTGTGTGTGTGTGTGTTGTGGTCTGTTGTGTGTGTGGTGTGGTGTGTGTGTTGTGCGGTTGGTGGTGTGTGTGTGTGTGTGTGTGTGTGTGTGCAAATATGGCAAAACTTTCAACATCAAAACCATCATTATATATATATAGTATACTATATTATATATTCAAGCGAGACTTATGATTGAAGTATTAAAGCCTCATGGAATTAGATATTTAACAATGGCACTGTAATAATTCCTTAAACAAAAACCACTTCCAAATGAAGCTTATAATATAGTATCTACAGACACACACACACATATAAATACATTATACATTATATATATATATATAATATAGATTATATATACTTACACATATAGTACAGTTTAAACCTATCAACTTCATGACATCAAATATTCTATCAAAGTATATAGCATAAAATCACTTTTTGAACTTGTTGCAACATTATTTAGAAGGAGAGAAGAAAGAGGAATACAAAAGGGAGAGGGAGATGCTGGCGTTCGACCATGGTTACGAACGTGCGGGGAGAAGAGTCAGGTTGGCCACTATTACTGCCTTAATGGCCGAGCTACGACTACGAAATCCTGCCAATCCTGTTTTAACTTCCTGAGAGTACAAGCCTAAATCGATGTCTTGATGAGGCTCTCGCTAGCCAAGACTTGGTCCAAGAGTGCCCAAACAAGGACACCATGTATAGGAAGGCTATAGACAGCCAGGCGACTTGAAGATTGGCAGTTACTTATGCGCACCATAGCAACTGGTGACAAGTATGCCAGTATGAAGTTTGACTTCAGAGTTCTTCATAACACCGATGTCTGTCCTAGTACGAGGCGCCAGTCAATTCTGCCAGGCCATTGCAGATGAGCTACAAAGGAAGGAAGTCATCAGCTGTCGATGCTCCCCTTGAAGAAGGGCGTGCGTTACTACACAATGTTGCACGAGATGGAAGCGTCCCTCATGCGCGTGGGTAGCCTTGTATTGAAGAAACATGTTGCCTGCAGCAAAGCCAGCGCGAACAGTGAAAGCCTTTATCACAAGCTAAAAGGCTTTTTTACCATTGTTCTAATGGGGCCTGCGTCGATGCGGATTATAGAAGTTCCTCATGGGTAGACTGTTGGAGGGCACGGACACATAGTCAGATGCAGAGATCCTTCAATGTAATTCAGAGCCTGAAATGACGTGCCTACGTAGATGGGGACCGCGATCTTGTTGTCTTCCTCAGCAGACCCCCTACCAAATGACGACAGGGACATGCCATATTTCTGCCTGGCGTGATGCATGCGTTCGCCGATGCGGACCCAACATGATAAAGCCTACTAGAAAAGCCGACTAAAAAAACAAACTAGAAAGCCAAACTAGAAGAAACAGATCCAGGATAGTCATTATTTTAATAATACTACGCATATATACATATAGCCATATAAGAAATCATGAACATCATTACTCACTAATGTCTCAAATTGATAACATAACATTTTTAATTTTTATTTTAGTTTTCTTCCAAGATATGATATACTATATTGACCCAATCGTAGTATAGTTATATATCTATATATATATAAGTATATACTTAATACTACTAATATATATATAGTTATATAACATTATGAACATATTATCATTAACATATCAAACGTATAACACAAAAACAAACACTCTCCTCTGTATTATGCATCTATTCTTTCTCTCGCTCTCGCTCTCTCTCTCTCTCTCTGCTCTCAGCGTCTCTCTCTTCTCTCGTGCTGCCTCTCGCTCTCTCTCTCTCTTCTCTCTCTCTCTCTCCTCTCTCTCTCGTCGCATCTCTCGTCTCGCTCTTTCTCCCCATTTCTATCTCTCTCTCCATCTCGCCCATCGCTAGGCCTATGATACGACGATGATTTGGGTTTGGTGATGGATATGCAATCCCAAAGCTGTCTGTCTAAGATATTTAGAAAGAGCGCAAATGTATATATATAGTATATTATAGCGTATACGTTTTGTATATAATTCCAATCTGCTTAATGTAAATCTGACTCATGAAAATGCTTCAGAATAACAAATCGTAGCAAACGTTGAAAGTAATACGACAGTTTAGTGTAACTAGCGTAGTTTAGGGCGAATAGATAATGAATTAGCTCGCAACACTATGAACCTCTCCCTTTTTGTAACACTTACCTACCTTCACCCCACTGCGACTTTTCATATTTCATCAGTTCAGCTTCTTCTTCAGCGCCTAGAGCAGTAGAGCGCGTCTAGCCAAATGTGTTATTTGATGAAATCTGTAGCATTTAACATGGGGAGGCAAATACTCTCTTCAACATTGGGCTGGTGTCAGGAAGCGGAAGGGGCTTTAAACAAGGGGGTTACAAAATTAGTAACTTGTTAAAGAAAGACTCTATCCGAAGTAGATTTGCAGTCGCTTTTATCTGCAGCGCTGTGCTGGAGTCGCATTACAACCCTACTCGCAATATGAGGTTTAGACTCTCCCGTTGGGTTTCTTAATATTCCGCGTCGTCGGACCTGCAATCATGGCGCCTGGTTTTTGGGCATGTGGCTACCGTCTGTTTGGCATACAGTCCTGAATTATGTTTCGCTGGTCTGATATCGGTGTCGTCCACGCGCCACGATGAGGTGGCATAAATGGTTTAGACTCACCCGGGTCGCGGAGGACCAATATGATCTGTCGAATATATTGCGAGAAGACCGGCCGAAAATTTGAAATCCGTCCTTAAAGAACATAAAAAGGACGTAGACACCGTAGCTCCTAAATCTTCTTACAAGAGCCCAACGAAAACAGTCGGCTACCGAAATAACAAATCCGCCGATCCACGGACCACGTAGCGAAGCGACACTCACCCGATCGATTGGGACATTTCCGAGATCATCGATCGCGGAGCCAAATCCAAGATCAGGCGCTGCGATTAAAAAGGCCATCTGGATCCGCTAGACCCGAACATCAACCGTGACGAGTGGGCGATCACTGATCTCTACTATACTAACTGGATAGCTCCATATAGATATAGAGAGAGAGAATCTTCTCTTATATATCTATGATAGCTCTTAGCCGATCCACGCTAGTTCGTATAGCTGATAGAGTCTATGTCCCCCAGGGTACTGCCGGAACGTACCCTGGGCACGGTCCTGTATACCGGAACGTACCCTGGTACTAAATACTACTATCTAATATGCCAGACCCGTACTCGCCTACTTCACTAACGAGTCTAGGGAGTTGCCTAAGCCTATCTACCCTAACCCCTAACCCGCTAACTCTCCAACCCGTTAAACGCCTTAGACGCCCTAACCCTAACCCTAACCCCAACCCTAACCATATCAGCTAGATAGTTACCAGGGTACGTTCCGGCAGTACTCTGGGGGACATAGACCCTATGAGCGTTAGGGCTGGTAGAGATCAGTGGTGGGGATACAGACTCAGACACGTGTGGACCAAACTGCTGACCACTACACCATCTGGTGGTCAAAACTGATGAAGTGATTGAAAAAGCTTCCTGATAGAAGCTAGGCGAAACGTCAACAGTAGCCTACGTTTTGAATCAACACGGTTGAGTAAAATTTAACCAAGATAGATCAATATATGTCAGATCTTGTAAAGGGTAAAGTTGGTTAAAACCCAGAATGTAATAGGAAGCCAGTGCTGCTGTACTACGTAATTTCTTGTTGAATCTTCATAATGTTTGTTATATAGACGGTTTATATTGTTCTAGATTGTTCTGGCTCAAAAATGTCCGGGAAGAATCTAGAATATGTTTCCAAGATGTTTGAGAGTATTCTAAAATATTTTGAAATGTGGTTGTAGAATATCTACTACTCATATATATATATAGTCTGGCGTTCATCTACGTCCCGTTTTCGTTATGGCACCTCTTATACAGTACTCTTTTAGAGAATGTTCTGGAATGTGCCCCACTTTTAGTCACTGTCCTTCTTTATTTTGTTCAAGTATTCCGCCCGCCTTCATCTGTGCTTCTTTCCCACCTCCGGCCACCCTCAACATCATTCTGCCGCCATCTTTGTTGGTCCCCAGGTACGTTGGCTTTGCCACGGCCACCCTGCTACTTCATTCTGCTCATCTTCCCGTCCGAGACTTCCTCCGCCCCTTTCCATACACCTCATAGACACTCGATCCCCCTTCATTACACTCATCTTTAGATTAGTCCTCCTAGTACATTTCCTGTGCCCGCAATTCTGCTCATCTCTATGTACGTGAACCGGCGAGTGCATATGGTGAAAGGCCACGAGTCTTGACGAAGATTAAATTAGTAAATTTTCCCGCCTGCTATAGCGCAAATGCGGGTGTACTTACCCAGCGGAAACAGAGCGACCGTCTGGCACCGCAGTCGTTTGGGCAAGCCATTGGAATAGACATTAACTTCTATTTCTATTTATGTTTCTATTTTTATTTATGTAGGCCAAATCAGCTCTAGGAATACGTTCGCCACGGCAGAAAATCCATAATCAAATGTCTGCGCCTGACGTTAAGTGACCTGAGAGGTTAATCTAATATATAGCCTATATCCTAACCAGAGACCACGCACATGTTTATAAATAAAGTTTTTGGGTGTCTCCATTTGGATGTGATTTGCGGACTTACGCTTTGTATATACTTTATTTATATAGATTTGTAATAGGCGTATGATATCAGAATATCTTGATGAAATGTAAATACAAACAAAATATTGCTGTGCACAGGTTATTTTTACTGGATTTTTGTCAATATACAAACACTCCTCACTCTACTGTCTAGGCTTGCGTAGACCAAGTACTTGTCCTACTTACTACGTTACCACCTCCGTATGAAACAGTTTCACAGAATCAATGAAGATAAACGGACAAAAAATTATCCAGATGATATTTATTTGAGAAAGAAATGAAGGACGTAAGACTGGGCAGTTAATATTTTCTTGGTATTGATTTTGACGATTTAGCTTTAGCTTTCTAGTTGCCCACAACGGATGAAATCTAACTGAGTTTAAATACTACAAGAATGTACGTAGCAAAGCGAAAGTGAAATGAAGGAGTCCTGATTGCTGTATAGTGGGCAACTGAAAGCCGGGCTCGAAAGCCGATTAGTAAGCTGTGATTTTCAGAAATGCGACAGAAGACGAACACACACACACACACGCACGCACACACATTTTGCACATTGGTGAATATTATTGCAGAATCAGGCAAGGCGAGCAATAACTATGCATTGATGCACGTGTTACTATGTTGATTAGAACGCTAAACGACACCCCACTCAGCAATAATATCCACCCTAATTTGACAGTTTTTACAACAGCACAGTAAACGCTGACGATGACAGTACAACGATTCATCTTTAACAAGAATCCATTTAGTCAACAAAATCAACCCATCGCTTGCAGTATCAGCGTCCTGAGGTGCAACGACGTTGTGCAGCTGGTGAACGGAGCACTACACTACGTCGTATTAACGGTGCTTCAACTTTGGTGTTTGATCCAGAGGCTTAGTGATGTCGTGACACTTCAGCGATGCGGAGTTTCCCGACCTCATGGTCCCCGCGCGGGATGGTGCTGTTTGGCGGGTGTCACCCATTCCTGATCGCGGTGTTTAGCTCTGTTCGAGCTCCTCCTCGCCGTGCGTGAGGGTGTGGGCGTAGGCCTTGTAGTCGAACTTGCCCTTAGTCACTGGTGCGTTCTGGAAGAGCTGTTCCACCTATAAGATACACGCGCGATCAGTCACGTCGCGCTGAAGGTTGTTTGTCCATTCGCTTTATGTGATTCATACGGGCGTGTATGGGGTGACATAGGTTAGTGAAGATTGCGTTGGATACGTTTCAGTTTAGTCAATTTTTCCGTTACATATTAATTTAATCGTTTAATATCAATTCTTTAATATCCGTCTAATATCAATCTCGATATTCGTCTAATATCAATCGTCTATTATCAATTAATTATAGTTTCAATCGTCTGGAAACCATTTCTGGCACTACTTTTCTACTTAGCTAATCGTACCTCCTTCTTGTCGAATCGGTCTCCAATTCCCTGAATAAGTTCTTTCAGTCTGAAATAAACAGAAATGCGGAATAATGACTCACTGTGTGTAGAAATTATACCAAATTATTCCACGCGACACTCATGACAGCAATAACAGTGTAGCACTTTAATTTCATACCGCCCATGCAATTATAAAATGCTACTATTGATGTATTAACGTTACTATTGATGTATTAACGTTACTATTGATGTATTAACTTCAACGACATAGACTTAAACTCGCTGCAGTTAGAGCATCAATTCGCGAAACTGCGTTGACCGTTGAAATTATATTAATTACAATGTGTCATATAGAACACAGCTTCTAACTCACTTCTTGGCATCGACCGCTCCAGTGGCCTCTGGATCGAAAAGCTTGAACGCGTTGAGGATGGCATCTTCTGGATCAGACCCTGTGTTTGAAAAATAATCGTCGGGTTATATAAGAGTACTTTTTACGGGCCGTATGCAGGGGTTTGGACAATGCATCGATGAGCTCCTGGCTATATTACGGCGTATATAGAAGGCATATATATATAATGCCGCGTCTAGAGCACACGCTACGTGACCTCTGTATTACACGGAGGTCATTTGAAATAGTTTCTACCGTAGTAGATAGTGTACAAATTAACAAGCTGTATGTATGACAGCACTCGCTGTTTGCACGAGTAGAACTGGTCGCATTAATAAAGCTTGTTGTTCTAATAACACATTACAGTCAAAATAGCCAATAAACTATCAAACTTCATGCTCGCATAACATGACGGCGAGTACAATCTGGATCTACTTTCCCGTACCGGATTGTAGTGTGTTTATTTGCGGAAGCAGCCCGGCGGCTGAAATTTTTATTTTTGACATGTATGACGTTGGCGATAGCAGAGGAGACCAGCGCGCAAACATGCGGCTCCTTTATGCCGACCATTTCACGGGCACCTACATATTTTTTACATATAGTTTTATCGTCCTTGGCTTCATAGCTCAGTTGCGATTACATTTTAACCTTGGCTGCTGCTCTGTTTTCTTTTTTACTGATCTAAACTCCCTGAGAGATCGCCTCGGTTCTATTTCTTTAACGCGATCTTGTGAGATAGAAATTACCGTTAACGAAAACACAAGGCATATCGACTAGCCGTGAACCTTTCACAGTGTAATGTGAGCGACACGGTAACATTCACTGGTACTTTGCTCAGTGGCTCCCGCTTTTGTCGACGCTTTCGTTACATGTGTTGGATGGGCGCAAATTAAAACAACAGCATTCACTTAGGCGCACTGCATTTGTTACAAGCCGTTCTAGTCTAAAGATATAGGATGTTAGTCCTCCAGACGCTGATATAATGCGGCGTTGTTTTTTTTTTTTATCTGAAGCAGTCAATGATGGCTCTGTAGGAACCACCAGGCCGTGCGCCTGTCACAGGCGATATCATCGGGGGAATTTCAACGGGCAATTATCAATGGGGAATCGCACCGAAGTATTATCAACAAGGCATGAATATGGATCGCGGCGAAAATTCACCCGTCATAGATACTATAAAGCACAGATCCGCCTAAATTCATATCCATTCTGTACTTGTATGTGTTCTCATGATTAACATGAGAATATTCCGCTCTTGTTGCTTCAGATAACAGTCGCTCGCGTTACAACGTTCTCACGACGATCTAAAGGCCGTGACTAGAAAAGCCATGGACTTACCAGAGAATCGTTCACCGAACAACTGCAGGAACATTGTGAAATTCAGGGGACCTGGTGCCTCACTGAGCATCTCATCAAGTTCTGTGTCCTTGGCCGTTCGTCCTGCGAAAATCAAACGTTGTTACAGAAACTGCACGAGCCAACATCACTCAAAGAAAGCGAAATGGTACATTATCGAATACGCGTCCCGAAAACACTAAAAATGGTCGCGCTGAAGACGCGTGTGCTGCACTACTGCCAACTAGTCCACGAAATTCCACACGACCGTTTGTTTATTGCCGAAGCAGAAATCGCGTTCATTCACAACCCCGCGACGTGCGAAAGCTTTCTCGGATTTACGCTGCTTATTTATAGTGGCATTATTTGACCCGACAGTACAACAGCGTGAGCTCAGACTTACAGTTGCAGACCAGTCTATACTGTTAAACCAGGTTCCGCGATTTTTTAGCTAAGCGCAGCACAAAACGCGACGGCTTCGAATGCATGCCAAAAATAAATATGGCGGATAAGATTGCAGCAGTGGAATTCAAGCTATTCCTGGAGCAACCCTGCGCTGCGGCGGTCTACGTGTTGCTAACCAGCTCAGCCCTATACGTATATATATATATATATATATATATATATA